GTAGTAGAGTGTTACTTTATGAATACACAAAGTACCCAGCCAGGTAGTAGAGTGTTACTTTATGAATACACAAAGCACCCAGCCAGGTAGTAGAGTGTTACTTTATGAATACACAAAGCACCCAGCCAGGTAGTAGAGTGTTACTTTATGAATACACAAAGCACCCAGCCAGGTAGTAGAGTGTGTTACTTTATGAATACACAAAGCGCCCAGCCAGGTAGTAGAGTGTGTTACTTTTTACGTTGACTCGAGTGACGATTAAAATATGTTTTTAAAAGAGCATCTAAATGAATTTCTAAAAAAAGTATTGTCAAAAGAAAGCGAATTTCAGTGTGTCTTACTCTCGCTGTGGCCCAGCGGTATGTCTGTGGACTTTCAACGCTAGAATCCGGGTTTCGATACCCGTGGTGGGCAGAGTACAGATAGCCCTTTGTGTAGCTTTGTGCTTAACTGCAAACAAACAATACTCTCGCTGTGTAAAAACTCCTACGTAAATATCCTGTCTTAATACTGTTTTAGGACTTGCACTTACGTGAAATTCGAAACGTACAGTAGTAAAGGTCTCGTAAAATTGGTCTCCTCTCCTTGTGTGGCCAACCTTTTAGTGGTGTCCAGAAATACTCGGCCTTGAACAAAAGTGATTAAAAAAATCCTCCCCACCAGCCAATCCTCCCCCTCTTGCGTAAATGTGATCCCGAGGTTCAGTACTCACCTAGTCTGACCTCAACCCGCGGCCAACTCCAAGGACATCGAGAAACGCGTATCCAGATGGGGGAGGAGGACACGTTTGGTATTCGGGGTCGGAGGAAGCCAGTCAACAAGCCCCAGGACACCGCCCAATTAAGGTGATCGCAGGTTGTTGTTGTTCTTTCAGCTACAAAGGAGTTTAGGTTGAAAAAAATCCGAAAATACAGGCAATTAGTAAAAAGTAATCACATACATTGAACCAAGAACACATGAATGAATTTTGCTCTTGATATCATGTATCAAATAAATAAATAAATTATATTAATATAAAGTTGCTATCAGACCAGGTTACCTATTTGTAGCGAAACTAAAAATCAATCTGGCCACCAGTATAACTAATTAAATATACTTTTCTTACGTTTCTATTTATAAAGTTTAAAATAAACTATTTCATCTGTATGATAGATAACAGTTGCCAAAAGCATTAATTAAAAGATTTTAACAACGTATTTAATATTACTAACTTTGATTTCTTCCACAAGATGGAGTCACGTTCCTATTATATTGTAATCACACGAATCTGATTCGACTCGAAATATTACAATTTTATCTTTGCAATTTTAAATAGTTATGCACTTATTTTGGTGAACACGGTGTTCATTTGAATTTGTTGCGAGTGTAAAAGAGTGTTTGATAACGTTCAGCTTTCCAGTTTCATTTGGACAGAAACAAAAACTAGATTTTACATTGCTTAACAAGTTCATACTATGACCAGTTGGAAAGTGCAGTATCATCTCGCACGTGGTCATATAATCACGAGACAGAAGGCGTTGCCAACTTGATTATCTTCGTCATTGTGTAGGGTTTAGTTCTATATCATATCCGATTTGTAATTATTCTAAAGTTAAAGAATTCCATTCAACCAACCTATTGGTATAAATGACTAACTGAAGAACACCGAATAACAAAACTGATACAATATGTTCGTTACACGGGTGCAAGTTTACGCTTTAAATATATCATTGGATTTATGTTTATCCTTAAACTAACAATAGTCTTTGGAACAAAGTAAGCTTAGGTCTAGCCCTAGCGTCAGTAACAGACAATAAGACTTCGCATTTTAGTTTTAAATTATTTCATTACTCAGAATCCCTTACGGGTAAAACATTGTGATAGGTTTGGCATTAATCTCAGTATCTCTTTCACAATGTTGTAGGTGCCGACAAATCGTATCCCTTGTCCAAGTTATTCCCTGTTTTTTTTTCGTTAGTTTATAACAACATGAGAAAAACGGTCTAAATCGATTTACGAGAAGCAAGATGGTCAATCTGTGAGTATTTATAAATCGTCTGTTTGGCTAAAAAATATAAAAAAAATATAGTTAGTTTATAACAACAGGAGAATAATAAAACTAAAGCGATTTACGAGAATATTTACAAGTTGTCTGTTTGCCTAAAAAATATAAACATTTTATAGTTTGTTTATAACAACAGGAGAATATTAAAACTAAAGCGATTTACGAGAATATTTACAAGTTGTCTGTTTGCCTAAAAGATTTTATAGCTAAACCATTTAATGAAAATACCGAAGTTTTGTTTGAAGTTAAGCACAAAGCTATACAATGGGCTATCTATGCTCTGCCCACCAATGGTTATCGAAACCCGGTTTCTAGCGTTGTAATTCCGCAGACATACATAATCATTTTAGACGTAAATGGCTAAACTGGACAGCGTTATGTGTCTTATCTGTTTTACACATTTTAAAGAAAGTTTTCTTTGTGTTTGACTAAATCATTACAATACACTGTATTGAAAATAGTATTCTCTGTTTTCTTTACTTTATATTTTTATCTTTCTGAAAGTAATTATTTGAATAATTCTGAACTTTTATCCAGTGTGTTCGTGCCCAAAGAGAAGTTCAATACAGGATTGTAAATTATTGTTATTGTCCAAAGTTTATTGTGTTATATAAACAATGAGATTTATCACATAAATGAAAATTTCGGGCTAAGCCAAGTAACAAGCAATAGAGTCATCCAGCGGAAAGCTGAGTCGAACTAAGAAGAGGAACACAACGACACTACATAAACATTTGGCTTTTGGACAATTCGGAATTGCACATTCCAGCAGCATTGTTAATCCTCTAATCTTTTAATTTGAAATGTATATCGTAGTATGTGTTCGTGATGAGTATTATTGCATATCGCTGATGATGAAATTTGTGTATTCTGATGATGAAATTCGTTTTGGCGTAATGTTCCTTTTCTGAGTTAAACCTAAACAAACTCAAAGCGACAGTCAGAAATGTTTACTCAGACTACGTTATAATTTATTTTTTACGGTCAGGACTCTGTATCGTGCGCGCGTATTGTTACTGTTTTATAGTTGCTACAGAGACTCCTTTGAAATTCTGAGTATGGTGGTTTTTGGCGCTCGACTCACAATCTACAGGTCGTGAAATCGAAACCCGTGACCGAACATGCTTGCTCTTTCAACCGTGTGGACTTTATAGTGTGACGGTCAATCCTACTATTCGTTGGTAAATAATTTGTGAAGAGTGGTGTTAACTAGCTGTCTTCTCTTTAGTCTATCACTTCAACATTTAGGGAAGTAAAGAGTTTGTGAAGAGTGGTGTTAACTAGCTGTCTTCTCTCTAGTCTATCACTTCAACATTTAGGGACGATTAGATAGCTCTTAAGTAGTTTTGCGTGAAATTCAACAAACATTGTTTTCTTTTAATAATTATGGTAACCATAGTAAATTTATGTTCGTCTTTAGCTATGGAAATTGGAAGAAATTTGCTATAATAGATAGATCTACTAGAGATGTGAACAAAGGTCACTCTACAATTATTTCCTTTGGTGGACAGAGCGCAGATATTCTGTTGTGTAGCTTTGTTCTAACAGAAACAAACTATAAAATTGCTCACTTTATCAAAAGGGTGAAGTAATATCATATCCCGCCCCTTAAAAATTGATCAGTTGGTGAAAAAGGAAATAATTTCAAGTTGCAGGGAAGGAAACTGTCCAAACTCGAAAACTGCGACAAGTATATCATTAGCTATGATATTCCGGGGCTGGGAAATTAGGACACGAATATTTTGGTGATTACATTAACAAAGGTTTCGAGGATTTGATTGGTGAGACAATTTGTTTGTTTGTTTTGAGTTTCGCGCAAAGCTACACTAGGGCTATCTGCACTAGCAGTCCCTAATTTAGCAGTGTAAGACTAGAGGGAAGGCAGCTAGTCATCACCACTCACCGTCAAATCTTGGTTTACTCTTTGAACAACGAATAGTGGGATTGACCGTCACATTAAAACGCCCCCATGGTTGAAATGGGGGGGGATGTTTGGTGTGACGGGGATTCGAACCCACGACCATCAGATTGCGAGTCGAGCGCCCTAACCACCTGGCCATGCCGGCCCTGGTGAGAGGAAACGTGACTGGAGTATAGCAAAAGTGAGAGAAACCAGCTTGTCCCGCACATAAATAAGCACTGTCCTTTAGAGAGTGGAAAATGTATGAAAATTAAAAATAGGCAAGTCTACAAATGAGAAGCAATGGACGTAAATGTAACACAGGTCTCTCTCTCTGAAAGAAACTAAAACCGCTTTCCTTGCCAAAATTGTATATCTGACCAATTGCAAAAACTCTGAAGGAACTCTCTTCCTTATGACAGCTGTAAAATAACCCCACACCCAGGGTGATTAGTGTTGTGTACAATACAACTAACTGTCCAATGTAACAATAGATCTTCTTCACTGACTCGTGTTATACGGGGTAACTAACATCTAAGGCTAATTTCAAACTTTTTTTTATTCCTGTGTTAAAGATATATACAGTTTGTATTTAAGAACTTTGTACCTACCGAAAGGCTCGAACCCTAATTTTTCATGTTATAAGACTACAACATTGCTTCTGAGTCAATAAAGATATATATATATACTATAAAAGTTAGGTAACTTATACATAACTATGTACCATAATTATTTTTGTTCCCGTAGCCTTGTTCTCAAGGCGACTTTATTTCATATTTAAAACTTTAAACTCAAGTTAAACGTGATACGCATAACTTAGTGACAAATTACTTCTTCGGTCTGACTGGAAGCTGACGTAATGAAGCAGCTCGAAACGCGAAACATGAGGATAAAATGTGAGGATTTTTGGCTCCCAGTGGCTCAGTGGTAAAAGTTTCGGTTGCATGTCCACGGTGGGTACAGCGCAGATAGCCTATTGTGTAGCTTTGTGCTTAAAACCAAACTGTCATTGTTGTTTTTTATTACATCTAGTTTACATTTATTATAATCGATTATAATAAGTCTTTCATTATGATAATTAACGTTGACGTTTAATTTATGGCTACTTCCAAAACGTTCATAAAATCAGTGGATTTTAAAACTTGCAAACTTTTGCATTGTGTCCATAGAGTAATTATGTGATTCCCAAATCCACTGTTGATCATGATGACTTTTTATGTAGATGATGACTCCAGTAGTTAGGGAGGCACTTTGGATGCAGGCGCTGATTGGCTGCCTCAAGGACGATGGGGGGTGGGGTGTAATAAAAATGATGACGTCATAGTTCCACAAATTGCTTCCAGAGGGCGCGTTGCTAGGCCGCCATGACATCATTGTTTCACATGACTATATTTAATACAATTGGTTTAAATATCTAATTTATTAGTTTATTAAATTTTCTGAACATTTAAATTGTACTATTTATTTGTTCGTAAATAAGCACAAAGGAAAATAATAGACTATCTGTACTCTGTCCAGCCCGGTTTCTAGTGATGTAAGTCTGCAAACATTCTATTGTGCCAATGGGGGGCTAAATCGTCCTAAAAAGAACGTTTATCGCTAATTTATTGGTTTTATACATTTCCTGACCATTTATATTTAAATCGCCCTAAAAATACAGTATCATGAAATAATTAAAACTTACTATTTGAATCTTTCAATTATAAATCAAGCCCTAAAAAACGACACTTACTAATAATTTATTAGTTCCATACATTTCCTGCCCATTTATATTTAATTTGTTCTAAAAGTACGATATCATGAAATAATTAAAACTTACCGTTGAACTCTTTAATTATAAATCAAGTGATTATATCAAAGATTTGCGGCACTTATTTAATATGCAAGACAAAATATTTCACTTTACGCATGATACTTTATAGTTTTATCT